ATGGGCTGCCAAAAGAACCAATAGATCTGTTTTGGAAGAGGTGCAGCCGGAGTGCTCCTTGGAGGCCAAGATGGCCAAACTTCATCTCTCATACTTTGGACATATTATCAGAAGGGAATAGTCGCTGGAGAGGGATATCATGTTTGGCAAGATGTAAGGTCAGAGAAAAAGAAGAAGACCCCCCAACAAGATTGATTGGCCAGGTGGCAGCATTGATGGACTTAAGTGTGGCAACAGTAGTGAGGTTGGCCCAGGATCAGACATCGTTTTGTTCTGCTGTGCATAAAGTTGCTATGAGTCTGTGCCAACTCAATGGCACCTAACAACAACAACACATCTTTAATAATACAATAATAATGATGTGTGGATGTGCATTGCAAAGTAACACATTTGTTATTAAGAACCAGTATCTCAAATTTTTAACATTTTTAATAGGATTTATAGAGCAGGTTCTTAACTAAAGGTTGTAAGTAAGTTGGGAGTCCTGGTGTGGTTCTGTAGGATAAGCACTATACTATGAAGTCGGCTTGAATCATATGGTTGGTAGTTCCAATTCACCAACTGCTCCTAGGAAACCCTAATACAGCATCGCTATGAGTTGGAACCGGCTGGAGGGCACTTAACAACAAATAAGTTGGACTCATGGTGTGGCACTGTAGGATAATGCACTGGACTGCAAGATCACCGGTTCAAACTCACCAGTCGCTCCTCCGAAACCCTATATATTGTTGCTATGAGTTGGAACCAACTTGATGGCACTTAAAAATAAAGTAAGTTGGAGTCAGAGGCTTACCACCTGAGGACTGCCCAAACTTGCTGACCGCTGACTGCTGACCAGTGACCCAATGTGGAAAGCTCTCAAATGGGCCTGCCCCAACTCCCACCCAGTTGCTGGTCCGCAGCCCCACCCAGCCCCACCCACTTTCCAGTCTCAGTGCTTTGCTTGCCTACCTGAGTCCAGGTGAATACATTATCTGTTTCTCTCAACCATAAGCACCTTGAATCCACACCTATGTTCCACCAGGAACAAACCGATTCCGATCGGGATTGGAAATGGCTCTGGATGGCCTGGCATACCTTGGGCATGCAGATGACTAGGTGCCCAGTAGTCTGAGATCTCCTGGCCTCGCTGCTATCTGGCTTCACCTCTGCAGGAAGTACCAGCTGAAAGGGCTGAGAACAAGCCGGGGGCGTGGTCAGAGGGATCTCATAGGTTCCAGAGCTAGTCTCACTAGAAAGTCAAGCTCGGCCACTCAACTGAAAAAAATGGGCTCACTTTCTTAAAACACCCCAAACCAAGACCACTGCCACTGAGTCAAATCGGACTCATAGCAACCCTGTATAGGGGTTACAAGGAACGGCTGATGAGCTTGAACCACAGACCTTGCAGTTCAAACCGACCTTGCAGTCTAGCGCACTAACCCACAGTTTCAGTAAACTGTAAAAACTAGATACATAAATTTTTTTTTTTTTTTAAAAGCTCAGTGATTGGGTCCTTTTTTATACTTTTCAGAAACATTTGAAGCAACCTAGTTTAGTTTAAGCCTTAGCTGCTGAGATGGGAATCGGCTACGGGGGTATGGACACTTACCTTCCCTTTTACCGTCACTCGCACGTAAGTTGGCTGCACATCAACATCGATTAAAGAGGTATCCATGTACCTGCAGAATAAAACATACCAGAATCTTGGCATTCTCAAAAACACCATGTTTACAGATGTGCTCGTACAAATCCAAACTTACTGGACCATTCTAAATGGAATGAGTTTAAAACGATAATGCTAAGCAAGTCTTTTTAAAAAAATAGTCTTAAATTAAGCCCAGGACTTAGAGAAACTCAACATATCAGCAATTTCATTTTTAGACCCACGAGTACATTTGGCATGGATTGTCCCTACCCCCAAAATATCTAAGGCCTGAAACACCCAAGGTTTGCAGAAAACAGCATGCTGCGTCTGTTCTCTCATGAATATTTTATTTTAAGTCCCTAGACTTGAATAGCCAGGGATGCTGAATGCACGGTGTTTGGTGCCTGCAACTAGCAGCTTCTGCTTCCTGCGCGGTTCTCAAGTCCCGGCAGCTGGTCTCCAGCTGCTCTGGCTCCCTCTTTCTCTGCTGGGGGCTGGGCACAACCTGCTGAATAAGTAAAGGCTTCCACTGGCTAGGCCAGTGACCTCTACATCAGACTGGAGCAACTCTCCCTGGCTCGGCAGTCAATAAGGAGCCCTGGTGAGGCCGTGATTAAGTGTTCAGGGAGAAGGATGTGGCAGTCTGCTTCTGTACAGATGCCAACCTTGCAGCCCCTAGGGGACACTTCTCCTTTGGTCTGTATGGTCCCTATGACAGTGGGGTTGGGGTTGGTTTGTTTTTGGTTTGTTTCCTGAGCCAATGAAGGATTCAGAGTTCACTCATTAAAGTACAAGCAGCCCAGTAAATACTGCCACACACTTTAAACACTGATGGCTAACCAGAGAAACTGCAGCAGTGATTCAAAAGTCAGCAACGTGCAGGCAGTGAGGGTGGCAGTGGGGTACCAGGGGCAGGCTGTGAAGTCACACTGACTTAAGGTAAGGAGCTGAGTCTCCCTGTCTGCCTTAATCTCTCTAAGCCTCCGTTTCCTCATCTGCAAAATGAGGACATTCATAGTGATGCGCCAGACTACAGAGCTGTTTGAACTGCGAGGTCAGCAGTTCAAGCTCACCAGCTCCTCCTCAGAAACCCTATACAGGGTCACTATGGGTCGGAATCGACTCGACACTTAACAACAACAACAATCCTCTAATATGGAGTCCTGGTGTGGTGCTGTGGGTTAATGTGCTGGACTGCAAAGTTGGTTTGAACAGCAAGGTGGAGGGTTCAAATTCAGCAGCTGCTCCTTAGAAACCCTAGACAGAGTCATTAATGGTCAGAACCGACTCAATGGCACTTAACAACAAAAATCCCCTAATATTGTTATGAATAAAAGAGATGAGCCACGCATAGTGCGTGGTGCATGTGGTTAGTTGTTGAAGTTCCGTTGTATCACTTCCGACTCATAGCAACCCTGTATAGGGTTTCCAAGCAGTGGCTGGTGGCTGGTGCTAATACAATACCCCTATCTTGATTGTGCTGGAGTCCTGGTGTGGCACTCACTGTAGGATAAGCACTAAATCACAATGTTAGTGGTGATTCAAATTCACCAGCCACTCCTTGGAAACCCTATACAGGGTCATTGTGAGTTGGAACCAAGTCAACGGCACTTAACATCTTGCTTGCTGGAGTCCTGGTATAGTGCTGTACGACAACCACTGGACAGCTAGCCACAAGGTTGGTGGTTCACACCCACCAGCTGTTCCTCAGAAACCCTACACAGGGTCACTATGATTTGTAACTGATTTAACAATATTTAACAACAATCTTGATCAAGCTTGATGGAAATGAAGAAGACTTGAAGTACTTACTGATGCAGAGCGAAGACTATAGTCTTTAGTATGAATTTCACCTTAATGCAAAAACTAAAGCTTCCAGTATGTATTGCACCTCAATGCAAAGAAAATGAATTCTCACAACTGGACCAATATACAACTTTATGATAAATGCAAAAAAGATTAAAGTTGTCGAAGACTTCAGTTTGCTTGGATTCACAATTAACACTTATGGAAGCAGCAGTCAAGAAATCAAAAGGCATAATGCATTGGGCAAATCTATTTTAAAAGATCTCTTTATCAGGTGTAAAAGAGCTTTGATTTTGAGGACACTTTGAGGACTAAGGTCTGCCTAGCCCAAGCCATAGTATTTGCAGTTGCTACCTATGAGTGTGAAAGCTGGCCAGTGAATGAGGAAGATCGGAGAAGTATCGATACATTTGAATGATGGTGTTGATGAGAAATACTGAAAATACCATGGACGGCCAGAAGAATGAACCAATCTGTGTTGGAGGAAGCACAGCCAGCATGCTCTTTAGAAGCCAGGATGGCGTGACTTCGTCTCTTGTACTTTGTATATATCATCAGGAGATGATGGTCATCCTGCTTGGCAAAGTTTTGTTGTTGTTAAGTGCTGTCAAGCCGGTTCTGACACAGAGTGATGCTGTATGGGGTAGCCGAGGAGCAGTTTGAGCCACGGACTTTGTGGCTCAAATGGACTTTGCAGTCCAGTGCATTATCCTGCAGGACCACACCAGGACTCTAGGCAAAATACAGAGTAAACAAAAAGGAGGAAGACCACTGACAAGGTGGACTGACCCAGTGGCAGGACCAGTGGGCTCAAACGTAACAATTGTCAGTGTTACACAGCCCATGGGTCAGTGCTTCGCTTGGTTGTCAACAGGGTCACTATGAGTCAGCACTGACTTGACAGCACCTGGTAACATCATTTACGTGGAGTTCTGGGTGATGCAAACAGTTAAATCCCTCAGTTGTCAAGCAGTATGTTAGAGGAGCAAATTAGCCATTGAAAATCCTACTGAACACAGTTGTGCTCTGAAACACATGGGCTCACCAAGAGTCAGAGCTGACCAACTACAACTGATTTTTATATGTTTGTTTAATAAGCAAAGTCCTGGCATGGTGCTGCAGGGTGAGCACTGAACTGCAAGGTCAGTTTGAACCACAAGACTGGCGGTTCCATCTCACCAACCGCTCCTCGGAAACCCTCTATAGGGTTGCTATGAGTCAGAACTGACTCAATGGCACTTAACCACAACAATCTAATAAAAGATTATAATCATAAGACAGAGTCAAGCTTTCCTGCAGTTTCTGGTTGAATACCTACCACTTTGTTGGATTCAGGAACCCTGATGGTGCCATGAGTTAAACACTGGCATGCTGACGGCAAGGTCTGTGGTTCAAAGTGACCTACCATTCCTAAGAGAAAGATGAAAGGTTTCTAGAAAGGTTTACAGTCTCAGAAAGGTTTACAGTCTGTTTCTAGAAAGGCTTACAGTCTCAGAAGCCTTTGCAGAGTCGCTGTGAGTCAGAACCTACTCAATAACAGTAGGTGGTTTGGTTTTAATGGATTATATGTTCTTTTCTAGGCTTTAACCCCCCCAAAAAAACTCATAGCCAATGAGTCATAGCGACCCTGCATAGGGTTTCTAAGACTGTAAATCTTTATGGGAGCAGACAGCTTCATCATTCTCCCAAGGAGCAACTGCTGGGTTTGAACTGCTGACCTGGCCTAACCCCCAATGCCACCAGGGCTCCTTTTTCTAGCTCTGGTACCATAGTGGTTATAAATCGGGCTTCAAACTGCAAGATCAGCAGTTCTAAACCACCAGTTGGTCCACGGGATAAAGATGAGGCTTTCTGCTCCCGTAAAGATTTACAGTCTCGGAAACCCTATACAGGGTCGCTATGGGTCAGAACCAACTCCATGCCACACTACCACCACCAGGGCTTCCAACAGCCTCCTTCTATCCCTCCCAGTTAGACCTCTGCAGGCACCATTTTTATGGTTAGAAACATCTTCCACCAGATTTTTAGAGCTTGCTACTTTTTACCCTTCAATTTCCAGTGGTCACATCACCAAGCTTCCCTGAGGGCTTGCCCCACCCCCAATCCCAGAGCCCCCATTATCCTCCATCCTGAGCCCTGTCCCTCCCCTCTGCTGCACTCTTCTGTGAGCACCAGGCCATCAGCACCGAGAGAACAGCAGTGTATGCCCATCACAGTCTCCCAGAGCCTGGCAGTGTAGATACGCTATAGATGTGTGTTGAATGAAGATAGTACACATTTAACCTAGCCTCAATGGCTTGATAATCAGAACACAACTAGAGAAAGATTTTTTAAAAAAAAACTTTTTTTTGATGAGGGAAACAAGTGTAAATTGCTACAATTTGATGAACTTGACCTATACTTGTGGATATAGTAGCTCAAAATACCAACCGAGAGGAAAGGAGTCTTCACATCAAGTATCAATCCTATGCTCTCTGTATACAAGGTAGATAGGGATGGGCAACTTAGACAATGGCTACCTAAAATGAGTGCTGTCCTGCAATGACGGGGTCATAAAGGCACAAAGTGACTGGCTTACATGTTTTCAAGAGGGAGTTGAGTTTAAGAGTGTGCAGGGGAAGATAGAGTCCCTGCTGAATAGTTTTCATCTTTTCCAGATGGGTCTGGTAGCGTAGTTGTTACGAATTGGGCTGCAAACCGCAAGGTCAGCAGTTTGAAATTACCAGCTGTTCCTTGGGAAAAAGATTAGGTTACTGCTCCCATAAAGATTTACAGACTCGGAAACCCTGTACAGGGCTGCTATGAGTCAGAACCAACTCCACAGCACATATCCGCCACCACCAGATGGATCTGCTGAAAAGATATGGGGATGAGATTCTTATGATAAAATAGTGAGTAATTGTTATCGTGACTAATTGCAACTGTCACAACTGTAAAGGTAGAAGCTTTAAAACAAAAATAGGGGAGCAGTTAATCTTACAGCCCAGAAACAGAGGACCCTAGGACCATCAAGGGAGAAGAGCACAAGCGGAATGTGAGACCCTATCCAGAGAAGTAGCAACACCAGAGATGGAGGCAGAGATGGGGACATGGAGAGAGGGAGCAGCTGAGGTCTCTAGACTCATGGAAAGAGAGGGACTGGGTTCTGGCAGCCAGGAGGCAGACTTGCAGAATGTGCCCTTTGGTTACTTAAATGATTATATATGCCTGAGTGTTTTTGTGTACATCTCCCCACCCAGAAAGAAAGAAAAACAGAGGGAATGGAAGCAAATACTGTTGACTGTTGATGCACGGGGGAGATTGTAATCATTGCAATGAAACAATGGTGTAAAGCTGATGTTCTCCCATGTAAACTATCACTCAGTTCACAATTCAAATTTTTAAAACAGGGAAAAATCTATATATGAAAATATAGAGAGAGATCCACTTCTGAGACTGGAAACCTCCATGGAAGCAGGCATCCTCATCTTTCTTTTGCGGAGCGGGTGGTACTTTTGAACTACTGTCCTGTGGTTAGCAGTCCAATGTCTAACCCGCAGCAACACCAGGCCTCCTTAAGAATTGCACTTAAGTTCTCTGTCTCAGAAACAGAAAAACAGACCTTATTTGTTGAACTTACATGGCAAAGTGAACTCCGTATCAAAGTGTGTCAGAACTCAAAAGATTGCTACTGAGAGTGAAAACAGAAACACCCTACACGAAGACATACTAACAATAGGTCTTTACCTATAGACAGCAAGGTCCAAGATGAGCTGGTTCCGCTTCTCGTCATCTTTCAGACAGAAGTCAAGTCTAAAGGATGATACATAGAGGGAAAAACAAGTCATTTCCTGAACAGTACCGTACAGATAACTTGGGTACATCATCAACAGGAAATCTGAGTGTAATTCTGCAATAATCACCAGTGACAAGCTTGTTTCAACAGCTGGATGAAGAGATGTCTGTGCTCATTTTTAAACTCCAATGGAAACCTCCAATGTATGATAAATGAGGTATACTTACAACACTGTTTGAATGTGACCATCTTAAGGAAAATTACATACAAAAATATTTGCATTGGTGTGGAGATAGAGACATCTGGTGGTGAAGGGTTTTGTTTCCATTTGAGTTTGCTCAAGAGCAAAGATGTCAGTTTGAGGACTAAGGTGCGTCTGACCCAAGCCATGGTATCTTCAATAACCTCATATGCATCTCAGAGTTGCACAGTGAATAAGGAATACCATAAAATAATTGATGCATTTGAGTTACAGGTGTTGGAGGAGAATATTAAAAACTACCATGGGCTGCAAAAAGAAAAAACTCAATCTGTGTTGGAAGAAGTACAGCCAGATGCTCCTTGGAAGCCAGAGTAGCCAGACTTCACCTCTCTTACTTCAGACATTTTATCAGAAGGGCCCAGTCCCTGGAGAAGGGCATCATATTTGGCAAAGTAGAGGGTAGGAGAAAAAGAGGAAGACCCCCAAGTAGTAGGATGGGCATGGTGGCAACCGTAAGGGGCTCAAGTGTAGCAAAGATCGTGATGTCGGCACAGGACCGGACAGTGTTTTATTCTGCTGTGCATAGGGTGACTATGAGTTGGTATCGACTTGATGGCACCTAACAACAACAACAAAGCAGCAAACTAACGCACTGCAATTCGTTGTGGAAAACTACTAGAAGTAGCAGGTTCCCCTTTACCCAGAATTCTCTTCCTTGAGGGCTAACAGTCTTGTCTTTTCCTAGCCATTGTTTGGTTCCTTTCAATAGTAACCTCCTGTCACCATGGAAAAGGCTGAGGAACTGCATATTATATGCCTTTCATTTATATATGAGGAATCCAAAGCTCAGAGGGGCTGACACAGTTGGGGAAATGGGCCCTCTGAGCCCAAGCGAGATTCCAAAACCCTAAAGATTTCAGCTGTCCCCTGGGACTGAGCCTTGCGTATGCCTTCAGTCCTGTCAACTACTACTCCAAATGGCTGGACCCAATTTCTGTTGAGCACACTCCCCTACTGCATCATTCTGTGAAACTTGTCACCTGACATGATTACAGAGGAGAAGTGATTACAGAGAGATGTTGGCTTGTGGCAGCCACTCATTGGCTTCAGCAACCCAGTTTCCAGGACATCTTATCGTTCCTCAAATGCACCATGTGCTTTTTTTTAAAAGTCTCATTTCAGGGTGACCTGTCACCCTCTCTGCTTTGATCACTCATTCCCCAACTTCCCCAGCAGCCAACTCAAACTCCGCTTTCATATAATCGGTGGCAGGTGACTGCAGAGAGGTTTTCTATGGCAGAAATTTGGATTCTCTCCTCACTATCTCCTTTATTTTTTGTCACAGTGGAAGCCCTGGTTTAACCAGGCAGAAAGCTCTGCAGGATAAAAAGTTCTCTTTCCTGCCTTACTTGTAGCTCAGTGCGGTCATGTGATTTAGCCCTATGAACAAAAGTATTGCATGACACTTTCCAGCATGGGGGTGGGGGTGGGGGGTATCTTTTCTTCTCCTTTGTTCCCTGAGGAAAAGAAGCTGTCAGAGGTCAAGAGATGTAGCTTGAAGACAACTTAACAAACTATTGCCATTGTCCAGGCAAGAGGTAGCGCTGGCTTGCTCTGAAGTTGTGGCATTGGGGTTAATTGTTAAGTGGTTGGACTCTGGTAATAATCAAGAAATAGCTGCTAGGGCTTGCTGATAAAATTGTTTTTAAAAGGAGCAATACAGAGTGAATCCAAGAGTTTGGGTCTTACTAGCAAGGTGGATGCTTGAGCACTGGGGAAGAGGCAAGTGAAGGTGGAAGCTGATGGTACTGATGGAAATCAGAGTGGGATTGTAGTCATGCTAAGTGTGAGGTAATGATTTGATATCTACATGGTGATGTCAAACAGCTCCTAGAATATACTGATCAGAGCTCAGGGAAGAGATAGGCACTATTAATGTAAAGCCCTGTAACCATAGGGCTTAAAGTTATTAGGATGGATGTGAAAAAAAAACACCCATAAAAGAAGGGTATAAAAAGACAGAACATTTAGGAGTCAAGGGGAGCAGGGGGAGACCCAGCAAACCAGGAGAGCAGCTAGTAAGGCAGAAAAACATCAAAAAGAAAAGAAAAACATTCTTTCAAGATGAGAGAGAATCATCAATTTAGTCCATGTCTGTAGTTGTTGCTAGGTGCCACGGAGTCAGTACCGACCGATGTACAACAGAATGAAACACTGCCTGGTCCTGAGCCAACCTCACAATCGTTGCTACACCTGAGCACATCGCTTCTGCCACTGTGTCAACCCATCTCATTGGGAGTCTTCCTCTTGTTCTCCAACTCTCCATTTTACTGAACATGAAATCCTTCTCCAGTGACGGGTCCCTCCTGACAACATGTCTGAACTATGAGAGAAGTCTCGCCATCTTGGCCTCCAAGGAGCATGTGTTTATTGGCAGGTCACATATAACAGGGATAAAGGTTTGAACACTGAGAACAGAAATGGTGTGATTAAAGAAGTTTAGGATGACAGAACCCAGGGGAGTGATTTCAAGTAGGTGTGGGGAGTGAGGGATAGAACTTGAGTGCAGAGGCAGCATAAGAAAGTCATCAGAGTGCCCTGTGGAAGTCAGGATGGCCAGACTTCGTCTCCCCTATTTCAGACATACTATTATTAGGTATTAGAAAAGGATACCATGTTTGGTACAGTGGACAGTTAGAGAAAAAGAGGAAGACCCCCAATAAGATGGATTGGCACAGTGGGAGCAGCAATGGAATCAACAACAAGAAAGTAAAATTGGGTCACTGTAGAAAAACAGAAAAGCATGCTTGTAAGCTGATGAGATTAATGATGTACAGTGGGGAGAAACGATTCAGAAGAGAAAAAGGGTCTGGCAGAGGGCCAAGTTCTCAACAAGAACAGATGGGTTCAGCCAGCAGAGTGAAGGACCTCAGCTAGGAGCTCACCCACAGCAGCAGCAGGTAGAGGACATGAACAAGTCCAGTCTAAGGGCACACTAGCGTTGGGAGGACGAGCAAATTTCTGACTGCTTCCTTTTCTCCATGAAGTCAGAGCAGGGTCCTGAGTTGTGACTGAGGAAGTAGAGGGAAGGAGAGAGGAAAGAATGTGCTAGGAGAGTCCTACCACAGAGAGAGAGAGTGACAGAGAGAGATGCACAAGAACAGACAACAGGTATGCTAGAAATCCCTCCCCGGAAATGTGTGTCCATCATTTTCCAACAAGACCAGCCAAGAAAGTGGAACCTTTACCCCACCCTAGTCATGCAGGTGGGAGAGCCTAGAGGTGGGAGCTGTGTTGGGTTTTACAAAGTGAGAATGAAGGGAGGAGAAAGAGGCAGGAGAGTTGAAGATGTATGTCAAGCACTGATTTCTGGGATGAATCATAAATTCAGCACAGGGTGATCTTCATTTTCTGGAGGCCAAGAAAGTCAACTAAAACCTGGCCTACTTGAAAACAGTAGCATGCAGGTGTTTTGCCTTTAAATGGACACAAGACTGCATGAGGCCTAGGCACATCCAAGTTGGGAAGAGTGGCCAGATACATCCTTGCAGAGTAAACCTGGACCTACAGCCCCCAGAGTCATTGACACAGCTCAACTCACTTCCCCAGGGCTCCCTCTATTGGAGTCACATACTTGGGGTCGTTGACATTCAGGGCTTTTCCATCTTCAGTGATCAGAGTCCTGGGTGGCTTCACTTTCTTCTTGTTGTCACTTAAGTTTGGGGGTGAGTGGGAAAAATAAGAAAAAGAAATATAGAAGCAATTAATGTTCTTGTGAAAGCAGCTTAAGAAACACCCATCAGATGTGAATGATGATGGCAACAATTCACTGGTATGAGATCCAGGCCCTTCATTCAAGGACAAGAATTGACAATCACTCTAGATGTCGATATGTCTGCTATCCATGGGTGTAAAACAAAAATGGGACCAACTGAATGTCATTAGAGTGTTCAACTGGGGTGCAAATCCTCCTGTGCATGAAATATCCAGGAATGTGAATATTCACGGAGTCCTGGTGTGGCACTGCAGGTTAATGTGCTGGACTGCACGGTCAGTGTGAACCGCAAGGTCAGTTGTTCAAGCTCACTAGCTGCTCCTGGGAAACCTAATACAGGGTCGCTATGAGTCTGAACTGACTTGACAGCACTTAGCAATAACAACAACATCCTATGCATGCTTAAGGGTCAACTTTCCATTTCACTTTGTGACTACAGCTTCTGCCTTAGTTACAATGATGATTTTAAAAATACTCAGTGGAGAGAACAAACAAGATGGTGGATAGGGCAGAAGTGCAATGAGGAACTCCGCCAGCAACAACACAGAATACTGGACCAAGCAGGCTAAGGGGATGATCCCAGAACTCTGAATCATTTATAATGGAATATTTTCAAAGTTGGAAGGCTTACAGCTAGGGGAATTTGTAACAGAAGCAAGAAATCCAGGGCTTTCTAATCCAAGGGGCTCAGCTTCTCCTGGAGCCACCATCTTAAGTGAGACCAAACCTGGGAAGGATTAGAGCAGCCCTGGATGCCTGACAGAACCGCAGAGATAAAGGTGTGGACATTATTTTTTTCATATCTGTTTATCAGCCTCTTGCTGTCTGTGCACCTCCATTCTGATGACTAGAGGGAGTGCCTGAGCGAATGGACACCCCACCTCCATCCCCAGAGGGTTCTACTATGCACGGGCACAGAGCTCCTCAAAATTTAAAGGGACAGTTTCCATTTAAAACCAAATGGCAGTGCAAAACAGCTGGCCCTGAACTGTTTATCACTAGGAAAAAGGCCTGAACAGGGATTGTGGAGCAAGACAGGCAGACTGAAAAGGAAACAGGCTGAAAATTAAATCCTGAGTTACGTCATAACAACCAACAGGGGCATCTTGAAATTTTTCAGGATGAAGAGTGGAAATGGAAGTCCTCCTGATCACATCTACCTGGAGGCAATCAGAAAACATAAAATATACCAAAACACACACCCATCTAAGTCTTAAGGCCACAGCTAACCAGTGAATATGCCCAAAAACCAGAAACAGATGACCATATCAGCACATGTCCAAAAACAAGATAAAGTGACTGAGATAAATGAGCTGGAAGTAGACCTACACTCCATACTTGAAGGCAGGCAGACTTTGGAAATGCCTGAGAAGGAATTCAGAAAAATGATTATAAAACATATCAAAACACCTTACAATGGAGTTGAGAAAAATAAGAAGTCAGGAAAGTGCTACAGAAACAATCAAATAAGATAGATACAGCAATGGAAACAATTCAAAACCTACAGAAAGAGATCCAAATGATTAATAATATCAGAAATGGACAATGCACTGAAAGGGCAAAGAAGTAGAATAGAAGAGATGGAAACCAGAACTAGTGATCTGGAAGACAAATCTCCCAATACCACTAAGATAGAAGAGCAAACAGAAAAAAGGATTAAAAAATCTGAAGAAGGTCTAAGGTTCATGTTGGACAACATGAAAAGAATAATTTAAGAATTATCGGAATTCCAGAACAGAAGGAATCACACAAGTCCACAGAAGAGATAGTTGAAGAACTTCTGGAAGAAAATTTCCCTAACATCCTGAAAAGTGAAAAGATAAGCATCCAAGAAGCTCAATGAACTCCAGGAAGTATAGATCCTAAAAGACAATCACCAAGACATATAATAATCAAGCTCTCCAAACTCAAAGATAAAAACAGAATCCTGAAGGCAGCTAGGGAAAAGAGGAGTGTAACATACAAAGGGAAGCAAATCAGACTAAGCTTGGATTTCTCAACAGAGACCATGCAGGCAAGACAGCAATGGGGAGACATATATAAAACCCTGAAAGAAAAAAACTGCCGACCAAGGTTAAGGAAAATAACCCATATGAAAAGGGGGTGATTCTTTGCTGGTTACCAAGATGTGTGGATGGAATGAGGGGAGGAAGGGGAAGGTGGAGCACAGGGTAGGGAACAGACACGGGATAGTTTGGGTGCTAGGGAGGGGGGGCTATACACAAGAAGGGGAAGGGGAATGAAAGAACAAGGAGGATGGAAAAACAATTAGGCAGGTTTTCGTGGGCTAAGTGTGACAGAGGTAAATAATGATGTATGTACAACCTTGGAACAACAGGGCTCTGGGATACAGGGATTGAGACATGGTTGGAATGGGCAAAAGGGTGGAAATAATGTTAAGATGCTTGGCTGTCTTTTGAATCTTGGTTGCCCTGGCATACCATTATAAAATAGACACTTGAGGGGGAGAGAAAGGAATAGCCAGAAATATCACTATAGAAAGCTTGTAAGTCCATCTTCTGCCTACAACTGATTGGAATACTTAAAATGGGGCTACAGCATGCCCAGTGAATAAGCTTCCTGCGGAGCCTCTGCATTACATAAGACCATAGGTGAAATCCTGAACCCCATCCAGAATTTCTGAGGTGGGAAATTTCCACTTGAAAGGACAAGCAGACCAGCCTGGAGCAGCTACAAGAACAGAAGATACTTCTTGAAAGAAGGCCTCACAGGAAAAATACAAAACAATAAAGGCAGTCTGAGTGATTACTACAAGAACAAGCAAGTTGCTCGCCCAGGAGACATCAAGGCAAGTAAGTGGTCAGGTCCTCTCAAGCCAAACTCCCTTCTAAGTCTAAACTCAATGGTAATACACGAGCACACATGTGCTCTGACTGGTGACCACGTTTGTCATCAATAAGGGGAAGTGAGGGAAAAACAGCAACGAAGCTGCCAGCTAAGCCCTACAACATTCAATAGACTCCTGTGAAACTGGGTGGAGACCTGGTTGGCCAGCAGTGTGGCAAGACCTGGGGACTCTTGGGCCCAGAGTCAGTGACATAGCCACAGAGGACTAGAGTGGAGAGTGAAGTGCCCAGCTGACTGCCACCACATAGGTACTAGCAAACAGCAGAATCGAGACATGTATCCGCAGTTCCTGGCGTTACTTGAGTGCTCTTCCCAAGGCACCACAGTTCTTGATGTTACTGCAGTCCCTTTCCCAGGGCGTCCACATTCCCTGATATGATTTGAGTGCCCTCCCCAAGGCACTGGTGGCCTCTCAGGATGCAAATCAGAGTTTTTCAAAGAAGTACTTTAGATAAAGTTTGATTCTCGATTGCTATAATTCCCTATCTACCAAATGAAGGTAAAACTTTTATGAAAACAGCAAAGATTTCCAGGGGTATGGCTATTCTTTGGGTTTCTTGCTTCTAGGTGCTAATCACAGGGTCAGATATTATGGCCCACTCTTGCCACTGGTATGCAAATGACTGTCCTTCCGAGCTAATGGGATACATTCTTGAGCTCCCGCATGATAAATATTCCCATAAGTGAAACATTTTAGATGCGAGACTATAGCTGTGGTATGCAATGGCTAATCTGGAAATAATGACTTAGGTATGGGAACTTAGAATAAGACACCCAACAGTATGTAAACAATTCAATGTGTGAGCATACTACTAAATGTCTAATAGGGAGCAGGATGAGGAAAACATCATGTTGAATGAGACTGATTTCTAGTTGCCCATTTAGTAGACAAAGGGAAAAGAAAGCAAAGTGCTCACTCTGCCTATCTGGAGTGCTCTTTCTGTGCATCGTGGCAACTACTGTCTCTGATCTAGGCCGTACTGTTACTTGGTTGTTGTTGTTGTTCAGTGCCATCTGTTCCAACTCATAGTGACCCTGTGAACCACCAATTTACAGGTAATAGTGAAAAGTCCTGGTGTTGTGCTGTGGGCTAATGTGTCAGACTGCAAAGTCGTTTGAACTGCAAGGTCAGTGGCTCAAGTTCACCAGCTGCTCCTTGGAAACCCTATACAGTGTCACTATGGGTCGGAACCCCATTCAAGGGCACTTAACAACAACAACAACCAGGACCCAGTTAAAGTGGTTAAAAAGCTGAAAACAGACAAGCACAACCCCCCCTGCAGAACATAATTCATACGGTTCTAAAGAAGGTGGCTCAACTATAGTGTGAACAGAGGCAATCCAAGGAAAATTTACACTTAAGGATGAGGACTGAACACAGAAATGGGAGAAATAATGTGCGACCAGGAAAACAGTCTATAATATCTATTCCATGGATATATTCTTGTCATCCCAACGATGGGGAACTATTAAGTACCTCAACTGTTCTTGTTTTTTCCGTTGTTTTTCCATGTGTCTAAGAGTCTCCAGTCTAGACTCGGGAGTGAACAGAGAGGGCTTATTCCAGAATGCCAGGTCTTCTTCACTTTCATCCAATTTCTTTGTGTTGCTCTCCTCTCCTCGTGTCTCCGAGCCTGGGTGGGGTTGTCTGCTCTCTAAAGAGCTTGCGCTGGGAAAGAACACACACAAAGCAAGCACGTCAGGAGTTTAAATACTAAACTACTAAGTACAATAATCACTTCAAATCATATATATATTTCTAAAATGTTTCATGGCCAAAGTAAACTAATCCCAGGAATTCAAAGATGGTTTAATCTGTTCATGTGATTTAACACTTTAATAGAAAAACAGGATCATCATTATAAATGCAGAAAAAAAAAACCTAACAGAAATCCAATATCTTTTATGAGGAATTCTCGATATCAACTGGAAATGGAAAGAAGTTTAGTTTTCTTTACCAAAATTCCACAGTCAACATTGTCATACTTCAATATGAGGCATTTCGGAAACAACACACAAATGTTGTAGTTGTTAGGTGCCATCAAGTCGGTACCAACCCATAGCGACCCTATATGCACAGCAGAAGGAAACACTGCCCAGTCCTGGGCCAACCTCACTATTGTTGCCACACTTGAGCCCATTGATGCTGCCACTTTGCCAATCCATCTCTCTGGGGGTCTTCCTCTTTTTCTCTGACCCTCCACCTTACCAAACATGATATCCTTCTCCAGCGACTGGTCCCTCCTGACAATATGTCCGAAGTATAAGAGACGAAGTTTGGCCATCCTGGCCTCCCAGGAGCACACTGGCTGCACTATCTATACTTAATACGGTATTTCACCCTATGCCAGAGGTCTTGGCAGGCACCATTAAAAAAAATTAAGTGAATGCGTAACAATTGGAAAAAATGTAAAGTTACAGTTTACAATGTGTTATTCTACATAGAAAACAAGAGGGAATCTACAGACTATTGCGTCTTTTAAAAATGGCATAAGAGTTAAGGCTTTGTATCAACTTCACTGGGCCAAGATTCACGGTGGTTTCACAGTTAGGATATGGTCATTCCCCACGATGCAATCTGCTAAGAGCAGCCAATCAACTGAAAGGAAGTTTCCTTAGAGATGTGACTTGCTTCCAATATATTAGACACTCGGGCAAATCTCCTTTCGTTTTCTGCTGGGTCTAGATTCTGCGTCTGGCTCATCATACAATCTGTGATTCATTGGACTTGAACTGGTGCCCTGCTGTACTGCCTGCCAATCCTGTGAGTCATTCACAGACAGCCATCTTACCTGCCCAACTTGCCTACCTGTTGTCTTACCTGCTGTTTTTGGTTCATTAGACTCACAGCTACGTCAGTCAGGAAGCTTGCAGCCTGACATCTGATACAGGGACTTGGGACTTGCCTACCTCTCCAACTGTGTGAGCCATCTCCTTGAGATAAACCTCTCTGCATACAGATGCGCATATAGTTTACTGGTCTGGCTTCTCCAGAGAACCAACACTAAGACCAATGGTTAATAAAATCGCTTTAATACAATAATCATCTTGTATACAAGTCATTGTGTCTTTACATATCAGTAAGAACCAATTCCAAGTCTATTTTTAAAATCCGATTCTGCAAGATACTACGTGATAAATTTAATGAGAGACGATATACGACCTTTATTGAGAAAACTACAAAATCTTACTGAAGGCCTCACAAAGAAGGTCTAAATAAATAGGGGAGCTTCTCTAAAATTCAGCAAGGAAAATAATAAACGTCCTAAAGATGTCGATTTCCCCCCAGTTGTTGTAAAGTGCCATCAATCAAGTCCTGACTCACACTGAGCCAGTGTAGGGTATCTGAGGGTATATGTCTTTGCCGGAGCAGAACGTGTCCACTCTTGTGGAATAGGTAATGGGCTCAAACTGCCAACCTGTGGTCTGCAGTCCAGGGCTATGGAATAAAGCCACCACACTCCCTCCCCCAATCAAGATCTAGGGACTTTTAGGATTTATGACTGGTGAATTCTAAAGTCTTACAGAAGAGTAAAGAACCAAGAATAGCCATGCGGATTTTATAAAATGAGACTATCTGCTGCCAGGTATCAGGATTTACTAAACATCTCTAAAACTTCCCACCACAGGGGTTAACCCCAAAGTGTGAGTCAGGGAACTGAGAAACAACTGACCCATGGATACACTAGCAGAAAGTATATACACAAAGACTTCAGAAAGTCTGTGGAAACATGGAATTGAAAGATAATGGGATTTTTCCACAAAGTGTTTGAAACCCCCTCATATGGCAAAGCTGGTCTTACAGATCAATGGCAGAAGGACAAACCCACTGTCGTTAAGTTGATTCCAGTTCATGGTGACCCTATAGGACAGAGTAGAAGTGTCCTGTAGGGTGTCCAAAGCTGTCATCTTTTATGGAAGCAGATTGTCACATCTGAGCCTCCTGAGGAGCAGCTGGTGGATTCGAACCATTGACATTTTGGTTAGCAGGTGGGTGCTTTAACCACCACAGCACTAGTGCTCTGGAAGAAGGATGATATGCTAATAAATGGTGTGGCTGCTGGCATAGTGGGTTAATAGTTGGGCTGCTAACTAAAAGGTTAGCGGTTCAAACCCACCTGCTGCTCCTCAGGAGACGGCTGAGGCTGTCGGCTCCTGTAAAGATTTATAGTCTCAGAAATGCTGTGGGACAGTTTATGCCATTCTATAAGTTTGCTATGAGTTGAATCGACTGGACGACGTGTGTATATGGAAATCAATTAGTACCTTACCCTACACCTTAGATACAGGTTCATGCCAGGCAGGAAAACTAAAAACAAATACTATTATGCCCTTGCAAGATAATATGCTTATGCAACCCAGGTAATGAAAAATGCCATAAAATCTCATAAATGAGATTAAAAAGTACAAAAATAAATTTAACTATGTTAATACTTTGAAATGTTATAAACCAGAACCACCTAATAAAATTACAGCCAAGTCCGAGGTTGAGAGAAGATATTAGCAAAGCATATAATGACCAACGAATCTGCATGCCAGATATAAAGGATAGAAATCAACAAGAAACAACCTTATGCCTTACTTAAAATAGGCAGAGGACATGCTTCCAGGAACTCTGAGGCGCCAATTAACAAATGCAAATGCAAGTTCACTACTAGGGCCAAAAATGAGGGTTAAACAAGAATCCAAGTGCCGTGTAACACCCAACGCCATTGGGCAATTCTCTATCAAGTATCACACCTTATTCCCCACTACTGGCCAAGATGGGGAACCTTCAGATAGGGCTGCTGCCCTTGCGCAAACAGCTGGGTGAACAAAGGTGTTCATGGCATACGAGGGAGCAGTGTCACTGCTAGCTAGCATACCTGCAGAAGTCAGCACACATGCACACAGAGCGTGTGCAATGCTGGGGAAGGGCAGAACAAGGGAGGGCAGGTTGAATGACCATCCAGAGGCGGGTGGTCAGCCCAGGCAGGAGCCAGCTGGCACCCGTGGTAGAACCACACTGGTTGCTACAGCTGGAACCCATTCTGGTTGACCAGGGCCAGAGAGCTGCCAGCTGTTAGCATACTTTGATGATCACCTCTGGGGTACATTGTGCTAATTCCACAGTGACAATGAATGAAGCAATTCTTCAGGTATTCATACTCACAAATCTCACAAACACGATGTTGGATGAAAGCAATAGGAAGATATCATTCATGCTTTAAAGAAACATAAAAATAGCCTTGCTTTAAGAAGGCAAAATTATGTGTTGGAGTCTTGGTCTGGTGCTGCAGGAGAAGCACTAGACCATGAGGTTGGCTTGAACCACAAGGTCGATGGTTCAAACTCATCAGCCTTTCTTCGGAAATCCTACACAGGGTCACTGTGCATTGTAACCAGCTGGAAAGCACTTAGCAATTATGTGCCGAAGGCATTAAATATACAGATGGGATCAGTGTTCCGTACTCATTTCAGTAGACTATGGGGTGAAGGGAGGAATGAGATTGGAGAGACATACCCAGGAACATACAATTCCAGTGAGGATAGTTTATTATACTTTAAAAAAATTATTTGCATTTTAAAAATCTAAACTATTGGTGTTTATTCACTAATAGTGGGTGATAGCAGCCTACTTAATTATTGTTTGAACATTTATGGGAGCATGAGATATTTTATATAATTATTTTCTCCACTTGAGGTGATTCAGCTATCAAGATTATTTAAAGTAGTCACTATCAAAATCAAATCGAGAGATTATAGTTGCAATTCACCTAAAATAAATGGGCATTAAAATTTTAGATTTATAAAAAGGCCAATGAGAGGACTGTTAATCACATTTATAAAGTAGTCATTATTTAATTCATAAAATAGACTATTTCTATGATCCTATCAAAATTATTGCATTTACAATAATGTGATTTGCGTGTAACTTTTCAAAACTAGTCCTGTTTTCTAACTCAGGGTGGTGGTGTGCCATGAAGTCAGTTCCGACTCCTAGTGACCCTATATAGGGTTTCTGAGGCTGTAAATCTTTAGGGGAGCAGAAAGCCTCATCTTTCTCTGGCAGAGTGATTGGCGGATTTGAACTTCTGATCTTGCGATCAGGCTCACCATCCACGATTTACCAAGGCTGCTTATATTGAGGCACAGCTGCTAAGTCATCTTTCTTGCAGTCTCTTATAGCTCCTAGCCTGAGGGGGCTTTTAGTTGCTGGTTTAGAAAGGCCCGCTCCCACCTCTTTTTTTAAGGAAGAAAGTCTCACAGAATTGCCACCAATGATGCGATGGTCATATTTTTCACCCAAAATTCATATCACCATTTATTCTTGAAATAAATCTTCAAATACATCCAATCACAAATGATCTTGTAAGCATCTTGGGAGAAAAAGTAACAAGTTACTTAGGAAATGGCACTGACTTACACGGTGGTGTTGACATCTGTGGACCAACGTCTGTCAAAGCCTGGGGTGCGTTTTGTGTCGTCTTCTCGTTCATGCTCTTCCTCAAGCTTCCTCTGAGCCTCTTCTTTGTCCCTGGCTCGCTTGAGGCAGTGCGTTTTTTCTTGCTCTCTGATTTCTCGTTCGATTCTTGGGTAGTTCTGTAATGCCTGAATCCTCTCAGAACGCTCTACTTCTTTACCATCCAACCACTTAAATAAAAACAGTCAAGACAGTACACTTACTCAAGAGGAGCAATTCCATCCATTCAGAATGTTTTGAACTTGGAAATAATAATGCACCGTTTTGTTGTTAGGTGTCCCTGAGTCAGATCCAACTCATAGCAGCCCTGTGTGCCAGAGTGACACAGAACTGAAATCAAAGTGACTCAGGGCAAACATCAGAAGCAAAGCTACCTGTTCATCTACCCTGCCTTCTTCTTCGAGGACAACGAGGACAAAGAGGTCAAAGTCCTAATCTCGAGAAACTGTGAATGAGGTACATTATAAGGAAAAGGGCACTGTGCCAATGAGATTAAATTCAGATTCTGAGGCGGGGAGATTATGCTGCGTTATAAGAGTGGGCCCAATGTCATGGAAAGGTCTTGAAGGTCTGAAAGAGAGGTGTGTCGGGGGACTTAGAGAGAGACTCAAAGGTGTCCCAGTGGTGCAATGGGTAATCAATTAGCTGAAAACCCAATGGTCGGTGGTTCAAACCCAGTAGTTGCGTTAAGAAGAACAAGGTGGCGGTCTGCTTCCATGGTGCTTACAGCCGTTTTACTTTGTCCTACTGGATCGCTATGAGTTGGAATCGATGCAACCTGAAGGCAACTTCTAGAAGCTGAAGATGCAAGGAAATGCAGTGTCCTCTAGGGTACCCGAAAGGAATGCAGCCCGACTAAAGCAGCTTGGTTTTAGGCTAGTGGAATGCACTTTGGATTTCTAACCTCCATTGGTTCTTGCAAGGTGCCATCAAGTCGGCGCCAACTCACAGTGCCCCTATGCTCAGCAGAACGAAACACTGCCTGGTCCTGAGCCAACCTCACAATTGTTGCTCTACCTGAGCCCACTGATGCTGTCACTTTGCCAATCCATCTCACTGGGGGTCTTTTTCTTTTTCTCTGACCCTCCACCTTACCAAACATGATATCCTTCACCAGTAATTGGTCCCTCCTGACAATATGTCTGAAGTATGAGAGACAAAGTTTGGCCATCTTGGCCTCCAAGGAACACTCTGGTTGCACTTCTTCCAACACAGATCTGTTGGTTCTTTTGGCAGTCAAACCTCCAGAACACTTAGATAATAAAATGGAGTCCTGGTGTGGCACTGTAGGATAAGTACTACTGGTCTGTTAACAACAAGATCAGCGGTTCAATCCCACCAGCCACTCCTTAGAAACCCTATACAGGGTTGCTATGAGTCAGAACTTAACAACAACTTGATGGCCCTGAAAACAACAACAACAAATCTGAGTTGTTTTAAGCCACAAAGTTTGTGATCATTTGTGATAGCAACCATACTGTTGTTCGTGGTGGGTCTGCCTCAAAACAACACTGTGCAGTGTTTCCAAGGAGCCACTGATGGGTTTGAACCACTGACCTTGCAGTTAGCAGTCCCGTATTTACCCTACGGCGCCACACCACAACCCCACAACAACCATGATGGTGGTGTGCCACGGAGTCGGTTCTGACTCACAGAGACCCTGCACATCTTTATTGAAGCAGAAAGCCTCATCTTTCTCCTGTGGAGCAGCTGGTAGATTCCAACTGCTGACTGTGCAGTCAGCAGACTAGCTTGTAACTCACTACACTAGCAGGGCTCCCTCATAAGAAAAGGATAAACTGAATAGAAAGGTTAAGGTTCAAAGTAGGAGTTACAGTCTCCTTTTATGTCTGTCTGGAATTTGGATTTGCAGAGTGCCTCTGCTCTGTTATGACACACTGTGCAGAAAGGCATGGAATTTCTGTAAAACTGCAATATTTACCCATTTCCACATGCGGAAAACGAGGTGGGCCACCTAAGGCTGTGTGTTAATGATGCCATTATGTGGAGAAGTCTACTTATGACCTGGGGAGTCCCAAACACTGGGAAGTGGGAGAAAGGCAAATCTCCCACGTGGCCCTCTTAGGGGCCTGGGCTCCTAACCCCAAAGCTGTGAGCAATGAGGATGCTCTTCAGCAGGATGAGACTCACTGGGAAACAGTTCAATTCAGCTCCGTGTGTTCTGAATCAAACAGTGAAACAAGACATCATTTGCTTTTACAAAGGGTTTTTAAAACAGTGCAAATCTTTTTTCAAAGGTTCAACAAGAATAGACAACAAACTAGTTTTAAGTCTCTGGAATATTCCACGTTCTGAAACAAAATGTTCTCTGAGAGTTTTAATAAAAGAAACCAAACCACTAAAACCTCTGTTGTGAAGTCGATTCCAACTCCTAGCAATCCTACAGGACAGGCTGGGTCTGTTCCTTAGGGTTTTTGAGGCCGTACGTCTTCCTGAGGCATACTGCCCCATCTATCTTTCTCCTACAGAACGGCTGATGGGTTCAAACTACCATCCTTGTGGCCAGCAACTGAAAGCTTGCTCCGCTGTACCCCATGGGCTCCCACAATGCCAGAGTCAGTCACAGATGAGCAATCTGCTGCACCTTTGCACTTCTCTGTACATCTGCATCGTTCAAACAAGCCCTCTGTCCAGTGGATTCCGGAGTCAGCGTACCTTTAACTGTTGCAGCGTTGCCACCACAAACTGCCGGTACCCTTGAAAGTCGGCACATGGGTTCCCCATGAGAAAGAGCTCCTTCAGATGGGGGTTGTGCTGCAAGGATTTGATGCTGCTCAGCTCCCCAATGAAATTGACCGTCAGGTCGAGTTTGGTCAGTCCTTCACATCCTGTGGAGACAAAAAATGCAAAGAAAACAAATAAAAAAGAAAAAAAAACTCACAGTGGTAGTAAAATGTGCGCAATAGTCCATGACTGAAGTAATGGACTCAATATTTTAAATCTGCAGATGACATTTTAGTGCTTACGTAAGAGTGGTTTTTCAGAAGCATCAATTCAAAGGCTTAATCTCAACTCCTGTTTCTATCTGCATCTGCCCTGGTTTCAATCACACAATCCCTCCAGCCAAGAGAAACCACTTCCTTGTCCACATCTGCAGGCTCCCGGGGCTGCTTAACACTTGGATCTGGCCCATGTGCACCCTGAAGGAAGCTGAGATTAAGCTGCATCTGGAGAAGCTGCTATGTCAGAGCAGAGGGGCCCCTGCTGAGCGGACACCTGGAATCTGTCTTCTTGAGAGCACTGCCAGGTAGTTAGGACACTTCTCAGTGTGAAGACAATGGTAGGATGTGTCTGTCCCAAAAGGAAAGGTGTTCTGAAAGCCAGGGCACTGTGGCTAACATTCACAAAGTCAGCCTGAAAAGACAGAATGACTCTAAGACCACCGAGAACTGACTTGAAGGTATCACAGAAGCTAAGGAACAAGAGGTGTTTTGTCATCAGAAGAATGGATGAAGAATGGACAGAAATCAATGGAGTAGGGTTTTGTAATAAAACTGATCCGTTGCTCCTCACTATAGATACAGCCAAATATTGTAGAAATTCAATTGAAATTTGAATTTGAATGAACTCTCCTCACTTGTATTCCATGGAAATTAATAGTTACAAGTGCATCTACACACACACACAAGCTTTGTCCAATGAAAGGGTCCAAGATCAGCAATCCCCAAGACCAACAAGCATAGTCAGAGCTTAGATCGTGGCTTCTAAAGACTGCTCGACACTAACAGGAACTGGAGTTACTTGGAGTAATGGCATAGGGAAAATACAGGATGAGCCTGGGACATCTTGATGTGCCACAAAGCAAGAAAGTATTGAAAAAAGCACGGAGACCCATCAAACCATGGAACCAACTGGAGCGGGCTCAGATGACCAAACCTTTTGGGAAAATTAGAGCATCAAATTAGATAATGGTGGTGACATTGTAGTCCATTGAAGAAAACAAAATCCATGAGCCCCGCCTGATCCAATGAATATTAAGGAAGTGGACTCCTGGTGTGGCGCTGTGGGATCAGCACTGGATGGCTTACCACAAGGTCCATGGGTCAAACCCACCAGCCAGTCCTTGCAAATCCTACACAGGTCTGCTATGAGTTGGAACCAACTCCACAGCACTTCACAACAGCAGCCACATGAAGAAAAGACAGAGTTTCCCCCTAGAGTGCCAGCTGACCACAGATACGAAGAATGATGGATTTACAAAACTGTTACTGAATATTAAAACTACTGCACGAAAGTAGATGAGGAATATGATATTTACATAACTTCAAAGTATCTTCCTACAAATTAGTTGTTGCAAAATGAAATATTATAAATTGTCAGTGGATAAATCTGAAAACAAGTCTAGAAAGTACTTTTTTTTTTTTTCTGTGTGAATCCACAATAGGAAAAAAATGGTTAAAAAGAATACTAGCTTGTTTATCCTGTCCTGTTTAAAAATAAAAGAAACAAATAAAACATTTATTTTCAAATACTCAGATGGAGGTAAGCTAAATGTGTATCTCCAAACCCCTTTGCTCTCACCTCACACCCTTAAAATTAAACAAAAAGTACTTATTTTACAGCAGATAAGATGGATCCTTCCTATCCATACTCTCACCTCCACCAATTATATGGTGTCCAGCCCGTCATGGCTTGAGATGGGCTGTGGAGCGAAGTTGGAAAGTTCCTTATTCAGACAATAGTGACAATGCTGTCCTCTAGCGGTGGATTCACAAAACACACCACAAACAACATCCTACATACACCCCTAAATGTTAACAATCGTGAGGACCAGGCAGTGTTTTGTTCTGTTGTGCGCTGGGTCACTATGAGTCGGAACTGACTCGACAGCACCTAACAACAATGATATACATCCTTGTTCTTAACTAAAAGAACATGCCCTGGACCACCCAACCCAGGGAGCATTTGAATTATTCCTCTGATACTTTAGACATACTTTTTATACTACTTCAGGAAGACAAAGAGGAGAGTCTCACTCTGTTTGGCTGAGCACAGTCATAACGTTGCAGAATGCAAGCTGAAAGGAAGCTAGGCCCCCATTGGGAAGACTCATCCTGCTTCAAGCACAAATGATGGGTAGACTGGGATTGTGATCATTTTCTAGGCTTTGAGGATGAAAACGGATGTGTTTTTCATGAGGAGGTGAACACAACTTTGATGGTAACTGAAATACCAATTTCTACACTTAGAGGCCATAGGAAAGACCCCACATGACCTGAGAAGTGTTCTTGTTTTAGCAGTGGCACATGGGAGTGGGGTGGGGAGCAGCTAGCCACTTCTGCCTCCTGCCCCCGGGAAGCCTGTCAGCTTGCCCATCCACCAATCTCTCCCTGTCCCATCCCATTCAGTAAGAGGGTGGTGGGGAACAAGACCCCACAAGTGCTTCGCAAGCCGTCACCACCACGCACCAAATCAGCCAGGATTGTCTGATGACATTTAGAGAAAAACAACAGCCCATAATAGAAGACTGAAAAGCAACGTGGGAAACCTTGAAGAAAGAAGATTCTGGGAGCCAAAGAAATGGGGAAGGAAATGTTCAAACAAGAGAGATGGGGGAGCTATCCCGCCGTGGAATCAGAGTAGATCTCCACAGACAAGCGGCAGTCGCACAGGACTTGTCAAGATTGAACATCGTATCCAATTGTTCTGAATTTTAGAGTGAAAGAAATAGCCCAGAATGTCGATTGCAAAGATCAGCCGACCAAACCCATCTAGCTGATTCTGAGTCCGCGTAACCCTGCAGGGCAGAGGAGAACTGCCCCATAGGATTTCCAAAACTGTATCATCTCTACAGAAGCAGTCTGCCTCATCTTTTGACTGGTGGGTTAGAACTGCGGACCTTTTGGTTAGCAGCTTAGTGCTTTAACCACGGCACCACCATGGTTTCTTTAGAATAACAAGACAAAGCTGTTTCAGTAAGGAATGAGAGACAAAAGACAAAGGCAATCAGGAGAATCCTTCTAAATCTATCTAAGAGATCAGAGAAAACAGGGGAGTGAAAATTATCCAGGAAAAAGAAAACAATCAAACAAAACTCTCCATTCAGTTAGAGAGGCCTGAGAAGTTTATAAACTCTGAGACAGAGAAAAAACTCTAAAGACAGGCTTTCTACATTGAAATTAGAACCAGATTGGCATCTGACTTATCACGGGCGAGACAGGATATTAGAAGACAGCGGAGTGGTATCTTCACAGGTCTAAAGAAACATAAGTTCACACATAGCGAACTAACAGGGAGGTGTGTGCAAAGACACACAAGCACACAGGCTGAGCAGGTTTGGGAGGGAGAGTGGGAGGACATGCCCACAGATATACATAAATTTGACAGAAGATATTTGCACATGGGTATCAGGTGGAGTCCTGCTGTGGAGCTGACCACAAGGTCAGTTTGAACTTCAAGGTCAAAGGTTCAAACTTACCAGATGCTTCTCAGAAACCCTGTACAGGGTTGCTATGGGTTGGAACTGACTTGACGGCACTTAACAACAACAACAACATGGTGTGGAGCTGTAGGATCAGTACTGGATTGCAAACCACAAGACCAGCAGTTCAAAACCACGGAAATCCTACATATATAGGGTCGCTCTGAGTCAGAACTGACTCGATGACAGTTAACAACAACCATTATTTACCTCTGCTATAAATATATCCATGAATGCGGTGGAGCACACAGGAGACAAAGTTAGGAAAACTTATTGTTGTTGTTAAGTGCCGTCAAGTTGATACCGACCCATGGAGACCCGGTATAGGGTTTCCAAGAAGCAGCTGGTGAGCTTGGACCATCGACTTTGCCATTCAAATCACTGCAGTCTGAAGCATAAGTCCACAGCACCACGCCTTAGACGTCACCAAATACCCTAAGGGAATGAGTTTCTGGGTCTGGGGAGCTCAGGACCATAGTTTCAAGGTACGCCAAGGTCAACTGGCATAACATAGCCCACAAAGACAATGTTCTACATCCTACATCTTAGAAACTCAGAAGTGGCCATATATGGTGCTAAATTGATCTCTCTCTGTCTGGAGGACACAGGAGCAATGAGTAGTAAATAGCACTGAAAACAATTCCTGAAGACTAATGGATCACATGAACATCCGTCTTCACAACTCTGAGACCAGAAGAACTAGCTGATGCCAGGATACCACTACCAACTGCTCTGATAAGGGATCACATTAGAAGGTCCAAGATAGAGTGGGAGAAAATGAGGAACAAAACTCAAAATCACAAAAATGACCAGGCTTACTGGCCAGAGGCAGACTGGTGGAACCCTGAGACTCTGTCCCTCCATCACCCTTCAGTTCTAGAACTGAACTCACTGCTGTAACTCAATTTTCAGCCAAGAAATAAAGAGGTATATAGTGAGGTAGACACACCAAAGAATGGTCAGCCATTCAAGATCAAAAGGGTAGCATTTACCCAAAGACAGAAGAGTTGGGAAAGGAGGAGGAAGAGAAACAAGAATTACAGGGAAGAGATTGCAATCAGTGAGATGAAATGAAGTGTATGATTGGCTGAATGTGAAACTGATGATTTGCTCTATAAACCTTCACTCAGGTCACAATTGAAAAAAAACAACAACGAAAAAAACACCGGTGGGATTAAATACAGATTAGTTATTGCAGAATAAAAGTAAATGTGAATACATACCAATGAAAACTATGCAAAATAAAACACACAGAAATAGACAAATGCTGAAATACATACAGCTCAGTGATTTTTACTATATTCACAAATTTGTAGACTAAAAACCTTGAATTGTATGTTTTATTGAATTTGTATCTCAATACAGCTGCTTGGGGCAAAAATAAGTTCATGCTTAGAATTCTATAGC